CCCTTTTTTAAATCAAAAAACAACAACTTGGTGCAGTTGTCACGTCTTCAGAGTTAGATGGCGCTGTTGGACACTTGGAGGATAAAAAACCTGCTGGATTTTCTCTCATTCGAGCCGAACGACCTGTTGGCTTTCATGTCTGTTTCACATGAAAGCTGGATTTTCTTCAAAGAGCCAGTTGATATATATTATTTATGCGTTTCCCAGCTGCCATGCTGTACACCAGAGTGTGTTCTGCTGTTTCTGTGAGGACTGGTTTGATTTCTAATGAGTGTTTTTTTGCTTCTTAATGACCCTCAGAGTCCAGGTTTGGGTTTTGGTTTGGGAACTTGGACTCGGTGAAGTTCAGCGACTCAGTTTTGAGGCGTTCAGGTCCTCAGAAGTGTAGAAATCCAAGGTGAAATCTGTGTCTGTGCTTGTTCTCTGAACTCGGCGTGACTCCTGCACCTGCTGCGCCTAAATGCATCATCCGAGTTCACCTGAAGTTCATGAACTTGCACTATCAAAACGCACACCTGCGGTGATTCCCACAGTTGATTTATGATTCTTATCTCCGCTGTGCCGCTCTTTCACGTTTCCTCTCCGCTCAGCGTCTTTCTCCTCTCTGCTTCCTCCTCCTTCTCCAGTTTTTGTTTATTTTTGACAGTCGGGTTGTGAGCCGGTTTCTGCTGATGTCGATTCCCCGTGAGTCACTACCCTCTTGAATAAAATTCAAGCGAAAAACTGTGATTTTTGTGAAATGAAACTTGAGTCAGAGTGAAAGTAGTAGATTAATGTGGTGATTTCTGTCCCAACGGACGGGTTTTTCCTCCTCGAACTGCTCTTTCACCTCAAACTATTTGTCATTCAGCACTCAAATATGCTTTCACTGGAGTTTAATGCAACTGTTTATGTAGTCGAAAGGTTTCCTGGGGGAAAACCAGAAACCAGTATAAACCAGAACTCTATTTTTACCACAGATTTCGTTGTAATTTATGAGAATTTTACAGCTCAGAGTGAATTATTTCTGAACTGGAAGGAAAAATATTAATTGTTCTGTCATTCTTAACAAATAAAATGGTGAAAATATCTGAAAAGTGTGGCATGCATTTGTCTTTAGCTGCCCCCCTTCAGCCAGCTTTTTAAATAACATTTCTGCTTTTATTGCACATTTTTCCTAAACTGTTTTTTTAATTATTGCACATTACGTCTCAATCTTTAACAAAATATTAGTTGATTTTGTATTTTTATTTATATGTGCATATATATTTTAACACTTTTTGATCTGCTGTGAAGGTCAAATTTCACGTCTCGCCACAGATTTTTTGCTTTCGGAGCAGTTTCTGGTCCGCTTGGCGTTCACATGTGCATTCGAACTGCGACTCCCCTCCAATCAGCTCCTTCAGACTAGCCAGCAGCAATTAGCAAACACCTGGTGGAACATCTGCTGAGCTCAATATATCAGGTACTTCTCAGTGTAATGATGGTAAAAACGCTTTTAAAGAGCAAAAAGAGGAGCTTCAGAAAGAGCAGGAGTTTTTTAAAGAGACAGAGGTCCAATTTCAAGGCGTTAAAGTACAAAGTCTAATTTCTATTTTAGTCAAACAACTTTTATATAACAACTGAAAGTAATGTAGCTGTTTGGTTGTGCTATGAAATTACACTATGTGCCTGGAAAATACATAATACTACTACATAAAAAAAGTTTTTTGAGTCACATGTGACTGCGCTGTCACTTAGCACCCCAAGCTGAGCCCAGCCCTGTTACCTAGCAACCCAAGCAAAGCGCCAGCATGTTTGGTCAGCTGGTTACACCGCTGTCTGTGCTGTACAATGGTTGCTGGAAAAGACAAGGGTTTCATTGTTGACTTACCATCCAGAATCCACTTGCTGAATTCTTTTTGGTTGTGCAGGAGGCTCCACTTCTGCTTTTCAAAGTTCTAAAATAGAACTGACCAGACTAAAATCTCATTATATAAGAATTATTTTGTACAAATAAAGTAGACAACATGTTTTGTGTAGACCACAGACCTATCCCAACCCGTTCAAGGAAGTACAATAGTTCACCTTTAAGGAGAATCTTCGCTTGAAACAGAAAATGCGCAGAAGTGGGAGAAATGACGGATCAACTGGTTGCAGCTTTCACTCTTGGGAATTTCCTCAGCAAAATGTCGCGGGAATAAAACTGAAACTGCAAATCAGGATGACTGGAAACAGTTTTACGGGATTAGGAGGGCAGCCATCCAAGCGATCTCAGTTCACTTCCTCAACAATCAGCTCCGCCACTGCATCAGCAGGTAAATGTTTACTTTGGACGTTTGCTCGCCTGCTGCATTTGTAGATGTTTGCTGCCAGTCAGGGCTGCTGGCTTGCCGTTTGACAGCTCGTCTTTGCGGGGAAATCCCATGGAAATGCCACGCCTCGCGCATACCACAATACCTGCCAGTTTGCCAACAGACGGAGCGGCCGAGCCTGGAAATATTTCTACAAGCTCAAGCATGCAGAGGCAGAAGCACAGGCCAACGGAGGAGATCAGAAATTAAAATTTAATCCATTTCTGCAGAATATTTTCCTACTGATTTTAGGTCAGTCTTTCATGCTTTTCCTACAGAATCGTGACTCAAACCAGTATTTAAGGCGACTAGAAAACGAGGTTCTCTCTTCTTTAAATCAACTATTTTCAGCTGATTCCAGTTGAAGCTGCGCAGAAACTTATTGATCTTCACTTTCCTTTTGTGTCAGTCCTTAAGTCCTTGCAGGCGGTTTTGCCCGAGGCGTTTCGTTTGCAGGTGAAACTCCTGCGATTTCAGCGATTCCACGTCTTTGAAGGCGATGAGCGACACGTACCTAAAGCTACCAACTGTCTGCAGGGTCAAAACGAGGTTAGGACACGGAGGAATCTGCCATTTTCACATCCATCAATCATTCGGGTTGCTTAATATGTGCCAATAACTCCAAAACAACAAACTTGAAGCCAACAAATCGGCATGATGAGAGGGGAGCTGTAGTAAATCCTGGGATGTTTTTATTAAAAAAAACAACTGGATGTTATTTTTACTGGATGTGTTTTTTAATTTAAATTCTTGTGCATTGCCATCACATTTGCTTTTAAAATCCTATAAAAATGGCCGCATTTACATTCATTAATAAAGTGACATAAGGACTTTTTTACATATTTTATATTAAAAAACAAGTTGATTTACATATTTGTTATAAATTGTATTTCTTCCATTGCCAACTAGAGACAGCCAATCAGAGCAAGGAGGAGGGTTTTAGCGCTGTCAATCACTCTTGTGTTCATTCCCTTCCCCCTTGCTATGCTACACCACTGCAAATGCTAATGCTAGTTGGCCTAACAATCAATGACGGCAGATAAATGGTTTTTCTGGAACAGTAAGTTGTTTCTCTGCCATTAGCACATTTAGAAGCACATTCATGAGGATGACTGACAATGCTAAGACCCTCCTCCTGGCTCTGATTGGTTGTTTTTAGACGGGAGCGATGCATTCCTTCAGTCTTATGGCTGGGTAAACAAAGGTCAAAGGTTGACGGCAGAACATTCGCCTAATAACTGCAGACTGCCGGTTCCCGCGAAGTGGCTGGTGCCGGAGCTCGGTGGGGCAAACAGAACCTGCTGTCTGCAAACAAACAGGCGAGCGTGTTCCTGCGGGGAGCGGCGTGTCGGTCTGGACCAGGCCCAGACGTCTGCGTCCAATCAGCTTCCTGATCATGATCTCTGTCTCTCCGTTGGGTCGTTCCACATGTCAGAGTGCTGGGACTACATCCAGAGTTTGGCAGTAACTAGACATTTATTTTTTGTTCTTATGTACATGTTTGTCATTTTCATCCTCAAAATGACAAAATTTTACTTAACTTTATATTTTAGTCCATTTATAATTTTTAAATATTAAATGATTGATAGTTTGATCAGTTACTCAGTTATTGAGTAAACTTTTTTACCAAATACTGTTTTACTCTTCAGTAATTTCTTGGACGGTTACTTATGGTTGACTATCCTGACATTCCAGCTTGTTTTGTTTGTATGTAAAAAAAAGAAAAATAGAAAAAAAAAGAGCAATTAACTATTAAAATGAACATGTCAATATAATGTAATAAATTAAAATTAACACCTTAACGTTCCTGCCCTTGTAAGCACAATACAGTATCCAGACTATCAAGACTATACATACGCCGAGACAAACACAAATTAATTCTGAAACCTATTGTGGGAAGAAATATCAGTTTTGTAAGTTAATAAAGACAGTCTTTTATGTGACAAAACTAATTCTTATTATCACTGACTATTGTTTTTTATTGTTTTACCAACATCCTTCTCTGAGCCTCGTATCGTAACTCAGGTGATCACGAATTGTGGCGAAGTGCAAACCGAGCCACATACAGTGTAACTTTTGAATCATTCCACCTGTTGTTTTATTTTCTAATATTTTAAGAGGTATTTCAGAAATACCTCTTAAAATTATATTTGTGGAATAAGTAACGGCGACAGACGGGCGATCTGTCCAGGGTGAACCCGCCTCTCGCCCCGAACGTTAGCTGGAGATCAGCAGCAGAACCTCCTGACCCCACTAAGGGACAACAGTGTTAGAAATATTTAACAACTTTAAATGTTTAGCTAGTTACAGGGATGAAACCTTTCATGATCACTAAACATGCTCTTTAGTTATCTTTAATTTACGTACTTATTTATTCTTTGGCATTCTTAGTTTTTCTCCAACTTTGCCCAAAATATTTGTCTTTAGATTTACTAAAACAAGAAATATTAGGAAAAATAGGTGGAAAAAAAACATTCTGTGTTGAAACATAACATTTTGTTGTGACATTCCTTATGTCTACATTTAATTTTTTTTTTACACGCCTTTGTTGTCGCCTTTTTGTTTGTTGTCTTTGCTTAACTAATTGAGTAATTTGTAGATCAATACTACTCTGCAATATTTCTTTTGTTGCGCTAATTGGCGAATACACACATAAAAGCCAAAATAAGAAACATTTCACTAGTCAGATATTTTTTCTTTGTGGTTTATTACAGGAGTACACATAGCAGTCTTGGTAACAAAAAAAGAAAATGGAAAAACTATCACGAGACATTCATAATTAAACTAAATGAACATTTCTTCCTGTAAAAAGAATTGCAAATTATGTACAGAAGGACATAAGACAGACTCAGAAACCAACAGGTTGAAAGGAAGATTGAACTGTAGTCGCATGGCACTTAAAAAATAAACATATCTGGCAAGTGCTTTCTGTTTCCATAATTAATGTAAAATAAAATGCAGTGATAATAAGTCTGGATAACAAAAATAATAATTATTACAGTAATCAAATCAACAATATCAACATTTTAAACACTGTTTACAATATAAACTGAAATTCATAACATTCTAAATACATCCAATATTTACCAAAGACATTCTCATGTAGGCTAAAAACTAAATCTGCAATAGAATAAAAAATAGCATTTCAAATATCTTATACCAACAATATTATTCATACAATAACATTAATAATAGGTTATTAGTTGATGTAAATAGCTATTTCCCCATAGTCTGATAAGGAATAATGTACAAATTAATACACACCTATTAATAACCCTATTAATGCTCCTTATGCTTTAAAAAATGTTTTTTAAAAAAAAGAAAAGAATTGACAACACAAATCTCACTCAGTACAAACTATTGCAATCTATAACTTTCAACTTGAAAACGTATACAAGAAAAAGCAGCAAAACAAACCATTTCAGTTTTCATATTTCTCTGTTGTGAAAACAAAATAAAAATCAGTGGTGTGGTTGGGAGAAATGAAACGGGCGTGGCACAGGCAGAGTCCATCAAGCCCCGCCCCCTGTCTGATATCTCATTGGTCCTTTTCTCTTTAGAACTCTCCGGAATGTCTGAAAGTTCCGCTAGCAAGTTCCAGAACTCCACGGAGGAAGCCCCGCCCCCTGCCTGATACCCCATTGGTCCATTTCTCAGACGCTTTAGAATGTCTTGTAGCAAGTTCCAGATCTCTGCTGCAGAAGCTCCGCCCCCCAAAACCTCTGGGGTAACCGAACACGCAAATTCCCGAAGTTCTGATTGTGCAATCACCTCAAGCCTTCTGGGACTGAATTTGCTTTGCAGTCTTGTTGTTGAACGGAGGAGCAACGAGAGAGTAAACGCCGTTGACCTCCATGGTGGTGGAACAATAAAAGAAGTGCACAAAAAAAAAGGACAAAGATAAGGCAGCACTTAAGCAGCATGTATGTAGGTCTCTTCCTATATACTTTCACCAAATCCCCTGATCTTTTAACCCGGTTCCAGCCTAAGAAGGTGCACTACTTTATGAGAACAAGCATACTATCAAATACGTTCATTATCCATGACGTTTTAATCTCTTAATGTAAGTTGGTAGCTTTGTTTATTTAATAACTAGAAAAACTGAAAATTGTGCCTTCTGAACTGTAAAGGATAAGATAGAGGAATACATTAGCTAAAAAATAAAATCTTAATTTGCCAGGTAGTTGTTTCACCTAAAAAATTAAAGCTATTAGTAAGAAATTTTATTTTGCAGTCAGAAAAATATCAACAAGCAGATAATCTAAGTTTTACATTGTCTTCTTTGCACCTGAGTTTAACGTTAGCATCACTAGGTTAAGCAAAATTTAGGAAGCGTTCAAGTTTGTATTTTTTACTGTTGGGAATAGTCAACCTGTGTTTTGTTTTTTAACAAAAAGTTTTTTAAAACTGGTTTTTAATACCATAACAGCCGCAGATTTTGTAGTTAGTTGTGTCACTGATGGTAAGCAGAACCTTCTTGGGAATAATTTCTAAATATAAACATGTAAATTTGGTTCAAACCTTTTTTTTGACCAAAAAGGTTTGGAAACTAACTGAGTAAACTGGATATGTAAATAAAGTAGGTTTGGTCAACAACTAAGCTTAACTCCTAAAGCTAATGCTAGCTTGTTCAGATAAACATGACCAAGTCAGTTTGGTTCCTAAAGCTACCCAAGTAGGCTTGATTCTTCAACACGACCAAGTCAGTTTGGTTCCTAGACCCAGTTAAGTAGGCGTGGTTCTTCAACACCAACCAAGTAAGACTGACAACAAAGGATTTCTTTCCAAAAATCCTATTGAGTAGAATTGTTTCCTAAACCCAATTAAGTATAATTTCTTCCTAAACTCAATCAAGTAGAGTTGGTTTCTAAACCTGGCCAAGAAAGACTGGTTCCTAAACCCAATGAAGTAGGACTGCTCTCTAATCAGAACCAAATAGAGTTGGTACATAAACCAATCCAACCAAGTAGGACTGCTTCCTAAATATGACCAAGAAGGTTTGGCTCCTAAATCCAATGAACTAGGATTGGTTTCTAAAAACCAAATAGAATTGACAACAAAGGAGGATTTCTTAACAAAATCTGATCAAGTAGATTTGGTTACTAAACCCAATAAAGTAGGGTTGGTTCTTAAACCTGCCCAAGTGGGAACGGTTTCTAAGCCTGTAGTCCCTAAACCAGTCTAGTAGGATTGGTCGTTAACCAAGTTTCCGTTTCAACATAAAGAAGTTGGTTTGTTTCGATCTGGTTCCTAAACCTAATCAAGTATGAAATACTGGGTTTCCTGCTCTTAAGCCAAACTAAGTAGGCTCGGTTCATTAACCCTAACCAGGTGCATTTGGTTCCTACAGCTTAACAATTTTATTTCCAATGAAGAAGACTTAGTTATTAAGGTTAATGAAGAAGGCTTTTCTTAAACCTAACAATAGATATGATGATCCAAAAAAAGGATATAAATAAAACAATCCAAATTTAACAGTTTTTAAAAGTTTGTTTTCAAATCAAGTTGTTGTTAGACTGTCTGGTTATTATTTTTTTAGGCAATTTAAAAAAAATAATAAAAAATTCTCTTTCTATATTAAAATGTATTGTATGCTTAACGTATCCAATCAGTGAAAGCAATTTTGTCCTTGATTTTTTAAAAATATTCATCCCTGTATCAGATATTACACATTTGAGCACATGGCTGCAAGGTTAAATACTCGCCGATAAGAAAAACTCTGTTTCCATATAATCCATCTCTTTTACCCTGCAAGTCAACTGAAAATGATTTATTGAATTTAAGCACAAGCAAAATGGTTGAAAATTATATTCCTTCTCTCTATACCCTGTTTTATCTCCCGCCTCTCTCTAAAACACCGTCACTGTTCTCATCTCAACTCTTCATTTCACCAAAAGTCTGTTGTGCACCACTCCCATTCAAATTATATTAGATAGCTTTTTGTACATATTTTGTAAGTATACTTCTTCAGAAAATACACAGAATAGAGCATATTTAAAAAGTTTTTGGCAGTTTCCTCCTTTCTTAAAGAAGAGTCCTGATAACCATTTGTTAGAAGAGTCTGAAAGAACGCTCCAATCTGGCAGAACAAAGGTGAAGAAGGAAAAATCTTTCTGAAATTATTGTTTCCTTCCATCAATCTTCTCCCTAAAGACTTAAATCTCTGAACTTCCCCACCCAACCCTCATGAGCAGCCGCCCTTACTAAACCGTCGCTCCCAGCAGCTCGTCTGACTTCGCCAAGATCTCGTTCTGATTGGAGTCCAGGCCGTAGAACTTGACCTTTAACCCATCGACGGGGTGAACCACGGGCACCGTGATGACACGCGGGAACTGGCGAGTGGCCAGCTCAAAGCGGCTGGTGCTGGCCAGCTCGATGGCCAGGATGCGCAGGAAAAGCGTGGCGAGTTGCTTTCCCAGACAGGAGCGAACGCCGCCGCCAAACGGCAGGTAGTGGAAGCGGCCCTCCTTGTCTTCGCTCCGCTCCTGACTGAAGCGGTCGGGGTCGAAGGCTTCCACGTCTTTGAAGACGGCAGCTGTGTCGTGAGTGTCCCGAATGCTGTACATCACACTCCAGCCTTTGGGAATCTGAACTCCCTGTAGAGAAAAATACCAGAGAATAAGACGGTTTGTAGGATTTATCTGATGCAATTAGTCCTAAAAATTTAAGCAGACTCTTCTACAATTTGTGGAAATAATTACTAAGCTGACTATAAAAAGTATTCATGATTAGTTGTGACTAGACGCCAACAATGACTACCACTGGTTTTAGCTGTCAAGTTATCAACATAACTCGCTAAATTTTAAATGTACACCATGATATATAAAAGAAAAATGGTTGCAGTGCTTTTCTACTAATTGTCAACACTACAACAACTAGACAACAAGGTCAGGAAAAAGCTTTAATAGAAATGTACAACAACAATTTAATATAAATTTAAAAGAAATAGCAAAGAAGAGGGAACTGGGTAAGTTATGCTAGCTTGACTTTGACAACTTAACAAGTAGATGTGCTGCAGAATTTGATGTGTTTTGGTCCAGTTAAAAATAAAAAAGACGACCCGCCCCTCAACTCAGCAGAAGATGTTTAAATTAGCTAATTATCCGCCGCTGTGTTCAGACAATCACTTATTAAACATCAAGCCTGAAAACATGCAGCTGAGACGGACCGAATGTTCTGTTCTTTATGTGGGAAATGTTTGTGTGTTTCTTGGTGTTGAATCCTGATACACTAGTGCAGCTGTCGTCAGTCAGTTGCCACGGCAACGAGTCTGTGCGCAGCGTAGCCGACACAGAGCGTGAGAAAAAAAAAGAATATGAGTGGTTTTGAGCTGTTTTCAATGATTTTCTGCCTTATTTTCCGATGGGCGTGATGCACAGCTCTGAATTAATAATACCTACGTCTCCAGGTTTCATCTTGTTAATGGAGTTGTTCTAAAAGAATCGTCTTTTCCCCCCCCCACAGCTTTGTGCCCATGCACGAAATTAGACTTGATTTGAGAAACATTTATTTAAGATGTAGAAACAAGACAGTAAAATTACTGTAGGCTGTTTAATTTATAAATGCTGATAAGATGTCGCCACGTTGGTTATGTTTCTTGTGTAGATGACATATGCTGGGTGCTACAGCGCTAGCTACGTACAGCCAGATCATCTAAAGGTAATATGACTTATTATTTATTTTTTAATTGAACCTGAAGGGAATAGGGCCCAACAAGGTGCCCTGAGGTACTCCACTAGTAATAAAATTAACAAAATTGCACATAAAGACTTACATCTAGTTCGAAGGTCTGCATTGCTGTTCGGTAGGCGCCGGAGACCGGCGTGTAGAGCCTCAGCACCTCCTTGATGACACAGTCCAGGTACTTGAGGCTGATGATCGTGTCCAGCCTCAGCTCTTGTTCAGGACAGAGGCAGCCGTTGTGGAGGAGGCCCCGGCCCCTGAGCTCCTCCCGGAGGCGCTCCAGAACCTGAGGGTGGCGGAGGAGCGCCATGATCAGGGAGGTGCTAGCGCTGGCGGTGGTGGCGAAGGCAGCGAAGATCAGCTCGATGGTTGATTCCTGTGGAAGCGTGAGAAAAGCAGCTTTTATTTTAACTTGCATTCATCTTAACGACAAGAGAACTACGATGGCTTAAAACGGCATTTTTAAAGATTTGAAATGCTGAATGTGAAAAATCTCTGGTGAACTCTCAGGGCGTTTTCACACCCGATAGTCCAGAAGACTCGGTTTGATTGTGGACCAAAACTGTTACATTTTCAGTTGCTGCGGTTCTCTTTCACACTGCACCGAGTCAAATGAACCAAATCCTTAAAAAAAAAAAAAAAAACGCACCAGAATTCACTTCCACTGAACTTTGACACCGATTTGTAGGTGAACCAAAGTTTGATTAGGCATGTAAACCAGATTAAAGCGGACTAAACATGGCTGGTGTGAATGCTCCCTTACACTTCCATAAGGCTCTTCATGTTGGACACTAACTACCTTACTCCAGCAACTAAAGCTTTGAGCTTTGCTGGACAACTTATGATTGAAGAAAAGAAGTTTTCTCTCCTTGGATTCTTAGTTTTGCTGTGATTTATTATTTTGAAAATGCAGTTGGTAAAAATCCAAACCAAGTAGGAAAACTTGCTTTGGCGACAAGTCCTCTGTTGCACACATTCAGTTTCTTATTGTTGGCAAAGTCGCCCCCCTCTCCAGAAAAAAATCCCTGACCAGTTAATGGAAATGTGTTTGATTCCTGAAAAGCGACACATTTGAAAGAAAGTAAGAAAATGTTTTCCAATTACACAGAAAGTGCCATGCTGGTTCTGGAATAAATAAGACGGACCGGGCCGCGTGCCTCAGATCGTAAGCCTCTCCCCTCTGCCATCACCTGTGTCTGCGCTTCACGCAGCACGAGTGTTTTAAATGAGTCAGCGAAGGCCGGGGCCTCCCCGTTCACTTTCTGAGCGCGGTGGAGTGTGTGCGTACAGGAGGCCTCATTCAGACCCCTAGCGGGGGCAGTGTTGACTTATTTTTGGTCCTGGACTTCGCCCAGAAACCACAAACAGTGAAGCAGAGAGAGAAAAAAGCCTCCACTGAATTCCTCAAATAGGTAAACAGAGGCTGCGCCGAAGTTTCTTTACCGCCTGTTGACATCAGCTCCGTATTTCAAGAGTTAATGCAGCTCATTCCTTCAATTCCTCATTTTATTCATTCCTCTCCAAGGTTTTTAGTGTCTGGCTTTAGCGCAATTTGAGGGTGGAGTCAAACATTTGAGTCGGTGATGACGGGAAATACGACGTGATGCTTATAGCAGGATATTTAACCAAACTTTCAAAATAAGGAACGAAAGTGAAACCAACATCCAAAGAGACAAAACCTGTTAATGATGTAATTTTTAGGTATAACAAGCTGCTGTTTTTTTTTTTAGGAATAGTAGGGCCAGGCTGAGATATATAGATATATTTTTTTAAATGGTCAGAATAGTCATTATATTACCAGAGAAAAAAGTCTAAGTAATACAGGAAATCATTTTATTACCAGAATAGTAGCAATATTATGAGAACAGTCATACGAATATAAGGAAAAAGTGACAATAATACCAGGATAAAGTCGTAATATTACCAAAATAGTTGTAATATGACATAAGTTGTAAAAAATAGCAGAATATACATAATAATACGAGAAATAAGCCTAGACTAGGATTAGATATGCTGGTCAGAACGTTAGAACTATTGAAACTTTGCTCTCAGTAAAAACAACTTTCCTTCTAGTAATTTTAAGACTTTTTTTCTGTTAATGTTATGTCTTTATTCTCATATTATTTTATTCATGTAACTACAAAACAAAGTTTTATCATAAAATCTTGGCAAATAAATTGTCATCATCATAAACAAATGGAGAAATATGTGCAAAATGTGCTTCTTTTTGGAAATTACACAACTAAAAATGGCCTTATTATTGTTCCATACAGTTAAAATAATAATAGTTTTTTCAACATGTGGTTTGGATGAATTCTGGACGAACGTTTCCGTGGTCCTGGGTGTTTCGTACCTTGAGCTCCTGCATGCTGAGCTCTGTGCCGTTCTCCTTGGCGCTCTCCATCAGGACGTCCAGCGCGTCGCTGTAATCCTTCCCCTGGGAACACAGAGGCTTTTCTCTGATGGCTTTCTCTATGCTTTTCTGAAGCGTGTCTCGCGCTCGGATTCCCTGCAGAAGAACCGCATGAAAACACGTCAAATACATTCAGAAGCTACATTACAAATGTAGGGAAATCCTTGTCTATGTTCTGCTAATGTCAAAAAAACTAAATTTCACAGTTGCTGTGTTTCCATTAGATGAGAAGTTAAATTAAAATCACGCGATAAGTTATTAAGACTTCTGGCAGCGACGGATGTAAAACAGTTACATGAGATTTAATTTAGCCGCATGCTAGCTGCAGCTAGGGGCAACGTAGGCAGCGTTTTGGGGAAACTGTTGGCGATTTCACAGAAGAGCGATGGATTCAACACGTTCGAATGACGCACAACTTTTTATGAACTGTGTGATGCAACAAGAACAAATCCTCCTACCACTTCCTGTCGTTTCCACCAACACAATGCCAACTGGCTGTTAACCAACTGTTTTTCTCTTCACATCTATTTTGATACGGCTGAAAAACGTGAGTTTTTTCAAAATTGCCACTTTTCCATTAAGTGAATTTCAATTTGTCCAATTTTATGGTTAATGGAAACACAGCTAGAGTATAGATGGCAAATTATCATACTTATCATTTATCACAATAAATTTCTCATCATAAGATTTTTGATTTATCACGATAAATTCCCGTTACTGTTGACCTGATCTGTGGAAATCGTCGTCTTACCTTCCGGTAGCCGCTGAACGGCAGGTCGATTGGGAGGCTGAAGAGGTTGTTGACGAAGTCCTGAAAGGTGGAGAACTGGTGCCTCATTTCCTCCTCCGACACCCTGAATCCCAGCAGCACCCTGACGGCCATGGTGAACGACAGCCGCTGGCTTTCCCTGAGGAACGACACGGTCACGTCCAAACACGTCAAACTCAGCCTGACACATCTTCACTTCAGAAACGATAAAGGAGAAAAATGGGATATTTTTCCACATATGATTCTCTCCTTATCGTCAAGAAATCTGGTACAAATTACCCCACACGATTTTGGTTTGACTACGATGGATTTTTAAAAACACGTGAAACTCAACCTGAGAGATCTTCAGATACAGATTAGAAAAGCTAAGGGTAAAAGTTATCGCCGATATTATCTCGTTGAGGTAAAGAAATCTTAACCCAAACGATTTCGGGTTGTGTTTTATCAAACCAACAAACTGCTCTCCATTTCTCTTGCACCATGATAACCGCATTCATAGGAGTTTCTTGTTTTTTAACATTAGCAGACAAAGATCTGCGCACATTTGTAAAAGAACGCAGTGACTTAGTGCAACTTTTGTTTTTACAAGATGGGAACAAAAATAGAGGCATCAGACATTAGCAGTTACAGGATTTCTCTTTTCTCTTTGGTAAAAGACAACAAGCCGTTTCTTAGGCATTTGTTTTGGTTTGTATTTACCCAGAATGCCCTGCACTATAATCCACTTCCTGTTTTTGGAGCACTTTGCTTTGCGTTCACACATGATTTCGAACCGCACCAGAGTTCACTTCAATCGAACAGAGACCGAGGTTTGTAGGCGGACCAGAGTTCGCTGTTTTTGGTTCGGATCAGAGTTTGAATTCGCGTTCACACCTCCCCAAACAAACCAAACTTTCTAAACTAACTGGAGTTTGGTTAAAGTGGACTAAACAGAACTGGTGTGAACGGACTCAGGGTGACCTTCCTGGGCTGCCGGCGTACCTGTAGACGTTGATGGGCTCGGGGTTGGAGCTCCATACTCGGAGGCTCTCTTGGATGACCTGCTGAATTTTTGGGAGGTAGGACTCCAACGCTTCATGGCTGAACACTTTGGCGAACACCTGCAGACACAAAATGAAAGACCACTTCAATTAAATTGGACTTAAAATTACGCAAAGCAGCTGCCTCAAGTCGCCAGTCAGAGAATAACACGCACAATTAATGTGAAATTTAGTAGAAAGTTCAGCTGTGGATCGAGAGAGAGAGACAGAGAGTCACTACATTTCTGTAGAGAAACTTTTAGAGGTTTTTCCTCTGCAGTCAGCAAAGCATTTTCTGACAGGCTGAAGAGGAAAAAGCGAGGAGGGGGGTCCACGTAAAGCCCGCTTCAAGCGTTTTTTCTGGACGAATCAATCACCAGTCGTCAGCGCTGTTTGAACAAATAACATTCCATCAGATCGGACCTCCAAAACTGCCCCTTAAAACTGTCCTGGGTGTGATTTAGAAGTAGAAGAATAAGAATGAGGCCTTTATAACTATTTTTAAACAGTCTCTAAAACGTATCTTTGTCTAAACAAATAATATTTCCATGCATCTGACAGTCAGAGCTGTTGGAGAACAGAACATAAAGGAGCTGCTTGTTGGGACCACTTCGGGAAATCCTTTTCCACGACAAGGTTGGAGCGAATCGGGAATCGCGACGCGGCACATCCCTGAGCAAAACGCACATGGTTTGCATTTTCTGCTCGATGAAACGAGGCTGGAACGTCTGAACGAGCTTCTGTGTAATGGCTGGTGGCCCGTCGTCGGGTTCACTCAAAAGTCACACACGGGTTTCTTTTCCTCGTGAATTAAAGACTTTCTTTATTTGTTGGAGATTACATCATAAGTAGTGATCGTCTCCATACCTCTGTGGTTAGCAGCTTTATTGTTTTCCAAGGGAGATCTGGTAGGGTCACATATATTATGATAGTCACGTCACTCTCTCACTCTTTGGTTACCTAGCAACTCTCTCACTCTTTGGTTACCTAGCAACGACTCCTTGAGTGACTGGCACAGCAGCAGTTTAAGGTTTCCCCTCATAACTGTTAAAAATAAACAAGATTGTGGAGAGAAAACTGTGGATTAAAGAGGAAAGGTCAGGCCACCATTTTGGCAATAGTCCATATATTTAAAACAACAAGGAAAAAAAAACCATGAATCAATAATTATCTATCTAAATGATATGAAACGCTTACATCATGATACGTTTTTCTGCCATATTGTCCAATCCTAAGATCTGGTAAAGAACCATCACAAACAATTTGGCCTGTCAAAATGGCAAAGTTTGCTAACTCTAGAAGTTATTGCTATAAACGATAATATTGTTGTTTTAAGACCATTTTTATGTAATATAATGGTAATGGCAAAACACACATGCTTTAGAAATACAGACGCTGACACCAGTGTTGGCGACGTCTACGCCGCTGCAACATGTTTAGCATTAAAATGTTCGTTTAGCTTTGGCTAACTCCTCTTAGCACAAATAGAACATAATACTCTTTTCCAGAGTCCAATCTGATCATTTTTTTAAAGCAAAAATTAACCCAAAATGAGTCCAGAGAAGCAACTTTGTCGTCTGTTGAAATATTTGTTTCATGTTCAGTTGGTGTGGTTCTCTTTCACACTTCACTGCATAAATGAACCTTAGAAAAACCTGTTCCCCTCCTCGCCTGTGGTGGCGCTACACCAAGACCCACTGAAGGAAACAACACAACTTCCTTCTTCATGAAATACAAACAGAAATGGATCAGCATCAGATTTTAGCAGATGTAGGATTTTTCTTTTGTCTTTGGAAAAATCATTTCCCCTGCTAGCATTAGACTCACGCGTTTGATTTGGTTGTATTTACCCAGAATTCCCTGCTCATTTCCTACTTTGGAGCGGTCTCCAGTCCACATACGCATTCAAAACGCAGCAGAGTTCATTTCAACCGAACCAAGACGTGGGTTTTAGGCGGGGCAGAGTTCGCTTTTTGGTTCGCAGCAGTTCATTCACACCTCCCCAAACGAACTGGATTAAGAAAAAAATCAACCAAAGTCCAAAGAAAATCTTCGAAACACCAGCAAAAACCCTGAAGAACCTTTTTGTATTGCATGTCCCGGTTATGTAAGGCTGTGAATTAACCCATTTAACCCGTCTACGATGAATTGTTTATAATTGCTCCGTCTGACTGAACCCTTTGGCTGTTCACACACACACTGACATAAATAGACCCGGAGCAGCAGGGCTGAGCTACCGTAGGACCAACGAGTCAGTCCGTCAGTGTGCTACTCCCTGGAAGGTAACTACAGGTCATCCAAACACACACACGTTTGTGTTGCTATCTTTGTGGGGACTTTCCATTGACTTCCATTCATTTCTACAGCCTAACCCTTACCTTTACCCTTTTCCTAACCCTAACCATCACATACCTAACCCTAACCAAAACTCAATTCATACCTTAGTCCTAACTCTGACCCCTGACCCAAAAACAGGGTTTCCCCTCGTGGGGACCAAGCTCCGGTCCCCACAAGGAGCAATTGGTCCCCACAACGTAGTATATGTCAGGAAAATCGTCCCCACAAGGTATTACAAACAAACACGCACAAACACGCACACACACACACACACACACCCACACACACAGCATCTCTGTGGATCCTGGCTGCCAATCAAACTCTGTTCTTATGCAGCGTCATTCTGGTTCCAGTCGGGACGAGGCTGTGTGTGTGTGTGTGTGTGTGTGTGTGTGTGTGTGTGAGGAAGCTGAAGGGGGATTGTTCTGCACAACAGTCATTCTCCTGCACCACAAAAACGTGACTGTCCTCTGTAGCCTGCAGCGCAAAGACAAAAACATACACTCACACACACAGTTGTTCTAATAACGTCCATATGTCTTAAATTATGTGAAAGTGCTGCGAGCTGCTGGTTCCACAGACATGTAAAGACTCCTTTATTCTTTTCTCTGCCCTCGCTGCTCCCTCCTCTTCCCGTCACCGCCTGCCCCCTCCATCCATCCTCTTTCTCAAAAATACTCCTTCGCTCTCTTTTACTCCACGTTCTGTCGTCAGTCCGGATCAGAGGAGGTGAAGTTCCTTCAGGTACCGGCTCCCAACGTGGTTCAATCGGTTTGGTACGGCAAAATATTAGGAAAAAGTTTAATTACGAGAATGAAGTCGTAATGTAACGAGAACAAATTCATAAACTATGAGAATGAAGTTGTAATATTGTGAATAAAGTCTCAATAACATAAGAATAAAGTCAAAGTACGAGAATAAAAACTTTAGTTTTGTACTATTAGGACTTTATTGTCACACGTTTCTTTTTTATTTTCTTAGCGTCGTAGTTTGGGGAGTATGTGCTTTAAAGAAAACAGATACAGAACTGATAAAAAGTCATGTTCTGCTGAAGGCCTCATATTACTTTGAACCGGCCAAAGTTACACTGACATGGTTTGGATCAAAGTCCAGTTTATGTGTTAAAATGGCCCAGTCAAAGTCCAGACAGTAGGCAAACTGATATAGTTTAAATATTTATCCTCACAGACATCAGAGTAAAACAAAAACCCAAAATAATCTTCTTCACTTCACAGTTTTGAGCCACTGCTGGTGTTTGATCATAAAATATTAAAGTATCCGACAGTAAAACGACGACATGCTTCAAAATGTTGAGTTTATATCCCAGTAAATTGACATTTCCACCAATTCCAGGATTTAAAACTGCAGTAATGCTGATTAATCTTTAAAATTATCTTATTTATATATAATTTATTACATATAAACGTCTTAAACATAAAGTATGTAAATTTTTTTGCTTTACTTCTTTAACTCTAATTTCGTACAACACTTCAATATGTTGTGTGGTAAATACTTTTGTTCCTCAGCTGCATAATTTCTATTTATTTCAGAGGCTATGACACCTAAAATTTCAAAGATGTTCTCATTTTAAAGCGTAAATTTGTGCAAATACCCCTGCTGCGTTATATTTAGGCATAAAAAGAGGGCAGGCCCAGTTCAAAATGGCAGCGCCCTCTACTGGTGATGAGAAAACCGCTCTGCTGTTTGTGGTTTCTGATCACCACCTTTCTGCCTCACAGCTGAGGTGTGAGGCAGTGTTTAATATAAAGATGAAACACCCAAGGCTGAAGTTGTTTTAGATGAAAACGAGGCTCTGTTTGTCGTTTTTGTTGCCTGTGTTGGTGGAAAATACGGAGAAAATCTGAAATAATAGATCTTCATTCTTTCTGACAGGCTCAGGTTTTATAGCACCAAAACTTCAGTCAGTTCAGCTCCGATAATCAGGCTTCATATTGACTAAAGCAAGATAATTTGCATTGCTAAGTGTAACAGAAATATTCATGTTTCAGATTTGCTTCAGCTTGTTCCTTCTGGATGGTGTTATTTTGTTCGGCCGGGCCGGTCGGTGCTGGAAACCCGGCGCTCTGTGGTTCTGTAAGAGACTCGGTTTCCCAGCTCAGTACTGGGTTATATAGAAACTGTCTGGCTCTGGTGATCCACTAAAGGCTAATGTGCTGTGTGAAGATTGTCTTTCCGTGTGAAAACCGCAGGGAGGGCAGACACACACGCTCCGGTCCAGTAGGTCGAGCACCGAGCCGGTTGCTCACTCTTTCTCTGGGTCGCTGTTGTCCGGTTTCAGTCTGTTGATTTGGTTTTATTATTCAGAAAACTGAACCCTAAACCTGCCAACACACACATGGAAACCACCACACTGTTCACACACTCCTTCTAGATCCATTTTTCTGCTTGGTCAATGATGGGACATTGATTTTTAAGCAGTGCTGTTGTTGGGAATAGAGGGAGTAGTTCTGAGTAGTCAGTGTGTTATCTGAAAGATACAGTAATGAAAGAATCAGGGAGAAATTTTCATCTAGAAATCTACTGTAAGTCAAGCTAACCATTCCTCAAACTAGAGCTTTTCAAATAAGATATTCTCTTTGTACACAGAAGTTTGATTTTCAGAGATCATGGTCAGAGGTACAATCCAATATGGCTGCCACACGTATCAACTGTTTTTCACCACTTCTCACTATTTGTGCTCAGTTAAAATAAAAACATGAAAGATTATGGACATGTTCCTTTAGAACATTAAAGTCAGATAAACATGTTATTAGCCTATGTTGCTATCAGTAGTTAGCATTAGGATATTGGCAAATCCCTCTGGTTTTATGACTTGCTACTACATACCGCATTCAGTTGACAAACCTAATGCAGCTGACAGATAAAAAATTCAGCTAACAAGCTAACAGATACATAAAGTTAAGCTAGCAAGCTAACAGTTGCTCAAAGTCAAGCTAAAAAGCTAACAAACACCAAAAGCCAACCTAACAGCTACTCAAATCAAAGCCCACATTTACTCATACTTTGTTTTAGTTTTACAGACCCAAAGTTTAGCTTTCAGTTTATAAAATTCAAGCTAATAAATACTGGAATCTACAGCTAACAGCTACTTTGTTGAAACCTAGAAACTAGACTCAAAGTTAAATGAGCATTTCCTGAAAGTTAAAGCTGAAAATCACTCAAAGCCAAGCTAACAGATACAACAATGTAAGTTAACACAACTATTAAAACTAAGAGTACAAATGTATAACAGAAAATCGCAAATAAATAAACCATAAAGGTTAGCAAGAGAAGTTAGCCAATGGCTAAGATGAACATCGTCCATTTTGGCCAAAGAAGATGGACGATGTTTAAAGTGCGATAAATTTGCACTTTACCCATGATGGACATAAATACACTAGCTAGCTTTACCCTTGCGAGGTATATTAGCAGCTAAATACCAACTCAAAGTTTTGTGTAACAGTAAAGTCCCATGAGAAAAAAGGAAGCTACATAGAATACATGAGATGAAATACGTGATTTACATATTTAAGGCCAACATCTTGTTTTATGAATTGAAGACATTTTAAGGACTTTTTAAGGATGTGGACACTCTCGATTACAATTTCTCTCATATTCCCCAAAATAAAAAGACTTTAACAAAACATGAATCCCAGCCTACAAAACAGATGAGCTAAAAACACGAAAACCCACCAAGTTTGTAGTTTGTGTTCATATTATATTACTGTGGAGAAAGTATAACTTTGTTGTAAACATTTGGTTGTTTCCTGAAAGGCATTTTATCTCTTCATCTGTGGATCTGTTTGTCTTGTTATCCAGGTGTTACAGACATAGTAGAAGAAGCAGGTGTGGAAAACTGGCTGTCATATCGTTTTGCTTAGCAAGACAAGACACGAACTTATCTCTAAAATCAACTTTCCTGACCTCACATCCTTTTTCTCTGCGTGTTTCATTGTGTTGAGAGCCGGGCGATGTTCAGGTGTGTGCGCACGTCGCGCTGTGTGTTTGTGTGTGCTGGGCCCCCACACAGAAAGCCCGTCTTTGTGCCATGTCGGAGGCAGCCTTCCTAATCAGGGGTCATTACATGAGGTTAGTCCCGGGGTCTCCGGGGAGAGGAGAAGGGATCAGAGCTCAGATTAGACCCAGCCGACCCCTCGCCGTCCCCAGGCACCGAAACCGAAGCCTCTCCCTCCCTCCCCCGCAAAATGAGAGAAAATGAGAGACTGATTTACAGGAAAACGCGCTCCTTCGAGCTTCTTCGATGTGAGTCAGGTGAACAGGAGAGGAAAGGCGATTACCGGTAATGATCCGCGTACAGACAGCGGAGAGGAAGGGACGGCAGTGACGGAAAACCGATAATCGAAGAGAGTCTCCTGATGGAGGCGTCGTTCTCACGCTTCAGCGCCGCAGATGACGCTCAGACAGAGGGATCGATTTACAACAAGTACCAGGGCCAGGAAGAACAGCTCAATTTAAAAAATCAATAATACGAAAATAAAGTCAAACAACAGAAAGATAAAGTCAATATTTCGACAATGAAATCATAATATTATGAATAAAATCAATATTTCAACAATAAATTGAGAAATAATGCAAGCATAAAGTCGTAAAAATATGAGAATAAAGTTGCAATATTTTGACAATACAGTCATAATACTACCAAAATTGCGTCATATTATTTTGACTTTATTTTTGTACAATTATTCTCACATTATGACTTTGATTTTTACAAGAAAGCTGCAGTAATATGAGAATAAAGTCGTAATATTCAACAGCCATGATAGTACGAGAATACAGTCGACCTGTTGAGTAACTTTTACCATTGTGCCTCAAAACTGTTCAAAAATAAAAATACGACTTTTCGTGAAAACTATGGATAAAACAGGAAAGGTCACACTGCCAGTTTGGCAGTATTTCAAATTTTTAAAACAAAAAGAAACGACTGGTTAATTATCGATATTGGCTGATATAATACGCTCATATTGTGATACGTTTTTCAGCCATATTCTCCAGAAAACTTGTGACAATGTGATTCGATGTGGATCTGAAAATGTGTTTTTCTTTGAGAGTAACAGCCACATTCTGCATCAATTTTCCCACCGTTTGTAAAAATAATTCATAAGTCGCCTATATTTTAAGTTTGACCTCCTTTGGTAAACATCTTCGTAATATTTCATGCATTTGCATAAATTATCATCTGTGAACGAAGAGCTTCGTGCAACGTTTACGCCCCACTCCACTGAGTTAAATCCCCGTGTTCGGGTCCTGACCTTCCTCCTCCTGCGGTGGATGTCTCCGATGCTGTTGGCCAGAGAGTTGGGTCCCAGCAGCGTCGACGTGCTCTGCGGCCAGTCCACCGTCACCAGCGTGTGCTCGCCCATCAGAACCTTCCGGACGTTTTCGGCCCCCGTCACCCGGATCAGAGGTCGGCCGAGCAGGTGGGTCTTGAACACGTTGCCGTATTTCTGCCTTCGCGATGCGTGGAAGCCCGAACCCTGAGAGAGCAGAAGAACAGGCGCCAAGAATGTTTATGTTTCAAGGTGTGTCAGAAGGAGAACATAAGAGCATTTAATTTCCATACATTTTCTGAGACACTCTTCAAAATAGGAAAGATGAGAAAACATCAGGAAAGCAGCTGGACATCAGAAGTTTTGCTAGATGATAAGTTATCACGATAAACAATAATATTGTTGATTTGAGACTATATATAATGCTAATTGGCATAATGAGGCAAGAACACATTTTCGAAGATCCATAAACTCCAATGAACATTCAACAATGGAACTGGAAGACATTTTAGTTATCCAAAATAAATAAAAAAAACAGAAACAGCAAATAAAATGAATGAGTCTCTGTAAACAAAATTGTCCTTCAAAATAAGAGCCTCTGTTCATTCATGTAATTTATTTTAAAAAGTGGTTCTATAGAAATGTGGAAGCTGACCTTAGCATTAGCGTTGTCTGTGCTGCTGCAACATGTTTAGCATTGAGATGCTAGTTTAGCTTCGTTGAGATGCTAACGTCTTTTAGCACAACTTGAACACAGTAACAGGCTTATCCAGCGTCCAATCAGATCGCATTTTGAAGTAGAAATTAACCCGGATTGGGCCAAGAAAAGCGAATTTGTCATTGTTTGAGGATGTTGCTTGCGCATCAGATTTACTGCCGTACTGGAAACGCGTGAATACAAAGGTTCCACTAAGAACTACTGTACGTAAAACTAATTTTAACGTGCCATTAATTAATCTACCTCCTTTTCCTATTTATTTTTTTACCCTCATTGCATTTCATCTAAGCGTCCTGGTTATTGATAAACCCGCTCAGTCAGTTTTGGGGCTGACCCGGCTGCATCGCTGACCTCCAAATGGTCGGGGTCGTGGCAGAGCGAGTGGGAGCCGACCCCAGAACTGTAAACGGACCGTTTGAGCGAGCAGGACATACATCAGCCTGAGAGCAGCTCAACGCGGCGCACACACACGCTCAGCGTATCTAACATTCACATGCAAGTATTCACACGTACCGTAAAAGCACACACTTCCAGCGCGCACATGTTCGGTTCCACGAACACACACTCTGAACTCATGAATCGACAAAACAGAAAAACACGCAGAGCAAACAAACATACACAAGCTCTGCAGCGACAACACTAACTGGTTTGACCTACTGCTTTACTCAAGGGGATAAAGATAAATGCAGCCATCAGAGAGACACACAATTCATGTTCAAACGAGAAAGTTTAAGTTAATGTTATTTTCTGTAGATTTTTAATTTATCTTCAGTGTTCGTCTTTGTTCAGTCTACATTAATAGCCTCTGCAACATGAAAATGAATGCAGAAATCGGCTAAATCTAACTTTAGCTGAGAGTTTATTTGCTGGTTGAGACACCTCTGGCAGCAGCAGCGCTTCCAGCTTGTTTTTAAATGTGTGCGCTCGTGCAGCTTCGCCTCAAAACAATGACTCAGATGTATGAGTTGTAGCTCAGTTTTGCAGTAAAAGCTAATGTGGATCATGATATTCTGTTTTAAAAATGTAACGTCAAAAATCAGAAGCATTTCATACTGAACCTACAGTTTAATCTGTAGAGCCAGATTAAGACTTTTATTAGGTTGTTTGGAACATAGCATGTGTATTATCTTAAAGTTTCAAGAAATTTATTGGATGTAAATACTAGTTTGTGTCGTGTGTGAAGGCAATGAGGATCATGTGTTTGTTACTTAAAGGACTAAGACCAGAGCCCTGAGGTTCACCACATATAATTAGCCAATCTGTCACAATTAACTACAGATCCAAACGTGAATATTTTATAAACTGCAAAAATATTAACGTTAATGTTCTTTAATGTTTTATTTTGTCAAAACAGCCAAGGAGGACAGTATCCAAATATTTGTGATGTTTTGTTATTTCATGAGGAGAATATTGTAGTTTTTATTGGATTACAGTTAAAACCTGAGAGTTGGTTCAACAACACGCTGTAAAGTGAACAAATAAAGACGAACGGTTGTTGTGGTCCCCACTGGGAAATGAACGCTCTCTGGCTTTTGTTTGTTGTTCTTTGTGAAGCCGAGGTTAACGACGGGATAACGATGAATGGGCTTTGATTACACCCAGATAAACATCACCTTTTACACCTTTAGGCCTTTACAGCTGGGTGAACACAGAGCTGCGACGGCACTGGCTATCGCCCAAGGACGATTGAGCAACTCCTTCAGGAGACGACACCAGATTTATGGTTTGACGTTTGCAGTTGTTGCGTAGAGTTCGTGTTGCGACAAGTGAAGGGTTGTGGCTTTTCAAAACCTTTAGCTTTACAAGAACCACATGAAGCACCGAGACAACTGCAAAAAGCTCAGAAATCACAATATTAAATGTTTTGGTGGGAATATATACATTTTTTTAATACGTGTAGTTTCTTTAACACAAAATAATCTCATCTTAATTTTTTTAGTAGAAAAAAATTTCTACATGATATCATGAGATCATTTTCCTCAGCTGCTGTAAGAGCTGACCCCTGCAGTCTAATATTAATAATAATCTAATATTTATTTCCTCAGACCAGATTTATTGCCATCTTATCCTCAAGTATTTCCAATATTTCAATCGCCACGTTTTCATCAAAGCTTTTATGCCCACTTTCAATGTACGGCTGGACAATAAACCAATAACAATATACACTGTGATAAACACGTGATCGATATCAATAGTTTATACATCTGATGGAATAATCAATATGTAGTGTATTCACTGAACTCCGATCCAGAACCACGCAGCATTTTCTCCTGGCTAGCTAAGCAAGATTGGTGGCATCAACCAACTCACTCTTTGGGTAGCTAGCAACCAACTCTCTCTTTGGTTCCCTAGCAACTCACTCATTCTGTGGTTACCTAGCAACAACCTGTTGAGTAACCGGCGCAGCAGCAGTTTCAGGTTCCACCACTTTGCTTCATAACTGCTAAAAAAAGAAAAGAAAAACAACGTCGTGGAGCGAAAACTGTGGATAAAACAGAAATTGGCAATAAAACTGATATTTAAGACAAAAATTTAAGACAAAGACGTTTACGTTTCATATCAGAAACATAAAGGTTTCTTTATGTCGTGATGTTTTTCAGTCAATGGTTAACAAGTGGCGCGAACAGAGAGGTGTAGACTAGAAATTTGAGTTTTCTGGCCTCATTTTTGTAAATTTTAAGTACTAACCACTTTATGAAACTTTGTTCCCCGTAAACCGTAAGAGTTATTCCTTTCCTGATTTTTGGTCAAAATCAAGATTATTAAAGTATGTAAGTTTATGGATTGAACGTGGGTTTTATGCATCTTATTGGGTTTTTGAGGCTTCGCCATAGTTACAGTGAAACGTTTTGTGCTTTATGTGTCGGTGGAAACGCAGAAGCACCGATCAGCCTTCCTGCCCTCCAGCTCTTTCTCACCTTCCTGCGACGCACCTCACATCTTTCTCCACGTTAAGCTAAATTGAGCACAGATGCCTCTCCGTTTCATGTTGCTTAAAAAAAACCCTCTGAACACCAGACCTGCTTTTATAGAAGAAAAATGCTGCTAATTAGCTTACCCCCCACCCCAGCGCGATGTCTGCGGGTGTGTTTGTTGTAATTGCGCTTAAGCTTCTTCAGATGTTAAGACCTAATTGTGAGGTGATGACAAAATGTTATTTACGCTGCGTGTTTACACCAGGGTTTTTCTATAAAACTGTCTTGGATCCGACTTTTACGCCAAACGGCAAATTTGTAAATTTTACGGTCCTTCATCTGCCGTAGATTTATGCTTCGAGTTTGATTTGCCTCCATCTTTCAGGGTACAAACTGTTGACCTGAGTTGTTTTCCCAGCTCCTGTACACTTCCTCCTCCTGTGGCAAACACACACACACACATTTTGAGTAACGCAGACACACACCAGGTTGCCGGCTGGCCTCTGGAGCCCTCAGGGTGTGTGTGTGTGTGTGTGTGTGTGTGTTGGAGTGGGGTTGTTTTCCAAGCTACATTTTGCTGCCACATGGATGTAGAGTGGTTTAGTATGTCTGCCTGGCAGACCGGCCGACACACACACACACACACACACACACACACACGGTTTAATTCAAAGGGAGTTCCTCAGGCAGCCAGACAAGGCTCCCTTTCAGATACAGCGTTAGATTGGAGCGATTGTGCGTCTGCGTGCATTATGTGCGTTTCTCCGCTCGGTTTGTCTTTCCACCGCCTCGACCCGCATATTTCTGAAACCGAAGGTTTTCAACTGTCACATTCTGCGCTGGAAAGTGGGGGAAAAAAAACACCAAAACGTTGCACTGAAATAATCCGTGCCAGGGGTGTGGTCTGGATGACATTTAACTCCAAGGTGAGACGTGTCACTTCGCCAAATTTTGGTTTAAAAAAAAAAAAAGAAACAACTCTTACATGTTCACACAAATAGAGAAACTCATGGAAAGTCATGACGTAACGAAATGTGCAAACGTCCAGCTCTTTTTTTCTTTTTTAACGCTGATTGCGGAGGCAGCGACACGGTTTCCCTCCAAACGTCAGCGAAGCGAGGGAAGCTCTCCACTGTAAACACTCGATCCGTTTTCATAAAATAAACCTCCAAGAAACCAAAATTACCACCGCAGCATTACGGCTGATTTTAACCGGCGAGAGGCGGAAAGCTCTGATGTGAGCTGAGGACCATAAGGAGGTTTTTCCTAATGATGGCAGGCGAAGAAGTGTCAAAGCTTTTTGTTTTTTGGCTTTCTTTGTCAACATGTTGCTTAGCAACGAGGAGACGTACACGCCGGCGGTGGAGACAGGATTAATACAACCTTACGGTTCTTTAACTGCGTAATTTTAAAATAATTATTCAACTTTTTTGTTCTTTTCTTTGCTGTTCTGCGTTTTCAACAGTATAAAATAATAAAAGTAGTTTATCCGTTACGACCGTCTGCGAAAACAAGCTGCAGTCCTACAGAACGCTAGCAAATATCAAAGCAAACGCAAATAAAAACACGTTGTT